CAGCTGTTTAATATCAATGTTATAACAGCTTTTTAAGCTCTTCATAATTGTCAATCACTTCACTAAAATGTTTAAGCTAATCGAGAGCTTATAAGTTCCATTTGACCAAAATCTGAGCTCAGTTAAATACCCTCTTAGACTTTAAAATCTAGAAACTACAAGATATGAAGCTTATAAGATCCCACAGACTGAAGATAGTATAATTTTGCAGATGATGCAATTAATGAAGGATTTTTTTTTCTTTCTTCAAACGAAGTGATCAAGAAATCTCCTATCGAAAAATACTGCCTGAAAAGGGGTAAAAACAAACTCCATGCTTCAACAACAAAAAGAACATCTTGTATCCTAACAATTATGAAACAAAAGAAAAGAGACAATAATGACCAGCTAAGCAAAAAAAGTTTAGACAAACATTACAGGAGCAAATGGGTGTTATGATACTTCATTTGCCTTTAATTGTCCCTTACCAAACATAAAATTTATCCAATATCATTTATTCAATGAAGTAAAATGATCCAATTTCTTAATTCAAAAGCTATTTGGATAACATACTAGCAGGCCAATGGAAAGAGACCACATCAATCTTTTCTTTATAGTGTCTGTTAAAATTGAGTGCATGCAGCAATTACTATGATATCAATTGCATACTTACATAAAATAGTTGCACGAGCCCAAGACGTAACAAGTAATAAAATTTTAAAATACCACCAAGCGGACAGGTTTCTTGATCAGTGATAAGTGAGCACTGATGAGGCAGCATCCATTCTAGTGTTGGAATCACAACTGAGTTAAGGACAAATAGACTGCATGGAGATTATAATAGAGATATTCAAATCATTAGATCAAGAAAGCATGATTTTGAGAGCACAACTCAACAACCATCAGAGGCATTCTTGCACATATAAACAGGGACCATTTTCAATTTAATATAGATAATGAAGAAGCTAAAATTGATCATAAAAGTAAGACATATTTACTAAAGCAGTAATACTAAAATTGTATTTGCAGGAGGTGAATGTCAGTCAAAATATCAACTAAACTACAGACTTATCTTCTCTCCACAAAGCATTGTCCTCTTGAGCCTCCTTGGAAAGGTTTGATGTTAATTCCAAAAGGAGGTTATCAGGGGGTCGGCTTAAAGGCAACAAAGCTAGCAAATAAAGCTCTGCCCTGAGACACTAGCCTTTGGCTTAAGCATTAATAGCTTTTAATTGTTTATCTTATCAAAGTTATGAGATGTAAGGATAAAATAGAAGTTTCAGAGATCAAATAGAAGATAATAAAGTGAAGGATGTGGCCTTTAGGAAAGGGCACAAGAAGAGGAAAGAAAGACAGGTAAGGAGAGGTTATTCTGTAGATAGAATCATTAAAGAGCTCTGTTGGCAGTCTCCAATTTACAAATTATTGTACTGACTCAATCAACTCCTCCAGAAGGTGAGTAACCCTTTGAATATGAGTACCCAGTTCCTTCAGTTAAAGCATTTCAAAGGTTTTCAATTATAATGGAACCTGATGCTATAAAGAAAAACAAGCATTTCAACTATATTCATGAACCCTTCCCTCAAATCCTCCAAGTTTATATCCAATTCCAAATTGGTCCTCAACATGTATATTTCTAAACTTACGGACTAAACATTTCAATGCACTCTCAATAAAGTTTTAAGGATTAGATTAATTTCTAATAAAAGTTCTTTTGTGATTCAAAATGCCATTTTAATTTGCTTTCTGTTGCTCTAATATAGTGCCGTAAAAACTGGAAAAGGAGGCCTACGTGGCAAGCATCCATGGAATCCGAGAATATGCAAGTCAAACTTAGGAAAGGGGTATTTAAACCCCACAAAAGCCCTAAGTCATAGAACCTGACTCCTCGTCCACCTTCAATCGGTGAACCTCGGGTTTCTTGCATCCTTTCAGCTTCTTTGGTGGACAATTGGGAAGATTGTTTATGCACCACTTCATGTATTTAAGCTTCCATAGTATTCGAATATGGCAAATAATTTATCCAAAAGTATTTTAAACAGTCTCAATCTCTCTTGTTCTCTTTCACTCTCTCTCGGTGTTCTTCTCTCTCACCTTAGGAAAGGTGATGTCATCAATATATATGTTACGATAATGTCATCAACATATATTAAGAAATGTGTAACTCCCCCTTTCTCTGAGTGTTTGGTGAAAAAAGTGTGGTCTCCTTGAGCCTATCTATAGATACTTTTTTGTCGCCAATCTTGTTTTATCTCTCAATTGTCTCATCTGCTTTATATTTGATGAGAAAATCCATTTGCATCCCACTTGTTTTTTGTCTTTTGCTAGATCCACTATTTCTCATATCTTATTCTTTTCAAGTATTTGCATTTCATACTCATAGTGTTTTTCAATTTTTCCCAAGATACTGCCTTGGATATTGTTTTAAGAATAAACTCACTATTTAAACTTGTGAGAAAATTTCTATGAGTTGATGAGTATTTATCAAATGATACAAATTGTGATAAATGATACAAAAAGTGTTTAGTGCATTCTTTTGTATCTTCACAAAGTGCAATAGGTATATCATTATTAGAGAATTATATAAGTTTTTTGAGACTTAACTCAATTCCAAGATCAATGTCAAATTCTTGGACTTCTTTTTTTTTTTCTTTTGAAACAACACCTTATAAAGGTATCATTAAATATATGCACCAAGGCGTGCAAACCCATGAACAAAATTATTTAGAAACCAGTAAGGATATCAACAATTTCTCCCCAATCTTCATCATCCAGTACAATGGTTGACCTAGAAACAAAAAATCAAAGATATGAAATCACGTCTTGTAACTTCTGAACACCTCATCCATCCCTTCAGAAACCCTTCAATTTCTTTCCTTCCACAAGACCCTGGAATAAGCCCCAAACAATTTTTCTACTTTGTTAAACTCATCCAAACTCATAGTTCATCATTCATTGACCCAGCCATGGCCCAATTAATGCCCAACCATAAGCCAAAGACCACAAGTTGTGCTGGATGGGACACCAAAAAAAGTAAATGATTAAATGCCTCCTTCGTCATCTTACACAAGCAACATCAATCACTAGTATCTTTCATCTCCTTTTTAGTTTGTCAATAGTCGATATACTTGCCTCCCATGTGAAAAATATTATCTTAGGAGGTGCTTTTACCTTCCATATATGCCAATAAGGAACTTGCTTTGGCTTAGTATTCGGCATCTTCCTCCTTGAGAAAACCTAGAGTCTAATATGATAATAAAGGTGCTTTTACCTTCCATATATGCCAAGAAGGAACTTGCTTTGGCTTAGTATTTGATATCTTCTTCCTTATATGCATCTGAGAAAACCTAGAGGCTAATATGATTTCTTGAGATGATGGATTTTGAAGGTTTTCTTGTGGTGGCAAATTTTCTTATGGGTTATGGACATTCTTTTCTAGTATGGTTTTGAAGTTTATGACAATGGTGGTATGTTAAAATCCATTACGAATTCTATATTATTATCTTCCAATATACGCTCTCCTAAAGATAACATTAGATGAAGTAGAATTCTTATTTAACAAATGTGACGCTTGAAGACAAAGAAAATTTTTATATGAGTATATGGTAATTTTTGTACTCTTTTTGAAATGAGTACCCTAGAAAAACACATTTTATGTCTCAGGAAACAAATTTTCTTCTTTGGTGAGAATGAATATGAAAAATGGCAACACACTTAAATATTCGATAGACCAACTGATTTGCTGACACTTACTGATGGATAAAACTACCGAAGTGTTTCAATAGGACTTTTTGAAATTAAGAATACTTGTAAGCAAACGATTAATAATATTGGTGGCAGTAAGAACAGTTCCAACCCAATATTGTTTTGCAATGTTTTGGAAGAGAAAGCTCTGGTAGTGGTTAAAGGTGACTATCTTGGCATTCCACTATCTTGTTCTATTGTGGGGTGTGAACGTATGATGATTCATAAAGGATTCATTCTTGATAGAAGAATGAGGAAAGTGTTTGATTGAAAAAATTTTAACATTGTCAATACATAGATATCTTTATGAATGTTCTAAATCAGGTTTTTATTGTATTGTAGAACTGAGATATGATATGTTCAACATCATATTTAGCTTTAAACAAAAATAGTCAAATGACTCTAGTGAAAAAATCAATAAATAACACAAACCATAGAGTACTAGAAATATTAGGTGTGTGAAATGGGTCCCAAATATGACTTTTTTTAAATAAAAGTATGTGTGTTGCCTTTACAAAAGATTTACAAACTAAGGGTCTGAAACCATTTATTCTAAAAAGATTATACCCTTCTGTATCCTCAACCCCCTCAAAGCCCTTTTGTTCCTATCTTTTCACACAACCCAAAAGATAGTAAGCGAAATAACCTCAACATGTTTCCTACTACCCAATTCCTTTTAAGTCCAAATTTGATCTTTCATGGAATTTGAACACACCCAACTGATACCAAGAGTGCTATAAACCATGGACCACAACTTGGGAACGACTGGACACCATAGCAACACACGATTACAGCGTTTTTTTGCAAAAATAGAGGCGCTGACCAAAATCTTACCCCCTTCTTCTTTACTTATCTGTAGTCAGAATACATTCTTTGCTAGCCTCCAAAGCGAAGAAAGAAATGCAGGGTGGAATATTCCCCTTCCAAATCTGCTTGTACAGAATAGTATAATCAATGTCATCATGTTTGTTAAGCTGTCTATAAAAGGATTTAATAGTGAATAGCCCATCCTTTTGTTTGATTCCACATTGAGATGTCTCTACAATCATCAAGAGTAACTTGGGAAAAAAATTTGAGTAATCACTCATATTTCCTAATCTCTCAATCGTTCTGATGTCTTTGCATTAACACTTGCCACTCACTCGTCCTACCACCACTCTCTAACACTACATCACATATTCTAATCGCTTTTTGCCAGTCTATCGTATAAATTCAAGAAAATTGTTCCCTAAGGGACCCACCCTCTAGCCGCAAGTCCTCCCACAATTTAATCTCGTCCCCCTTCCCAACCTTCCATCTGATATTCCTTTGAAAGTGGTCTTTGCCCCTGCTGATTTTTTCCACGTGGTCGAGCTCAACCTTGTAAATTACCTCTTGTCAACCATATCGTACTTAACTGTAACCACTCTACTAAAGACCGAATACCCAGACCCCCAAGTGCAATTGGTTTTTTTAATTCACTCCATGCAATCAAGTGATACTTCAAGTATTTCTCTATATCTTCCCAAATAAATTTACATTGAATAGCCTCTAGTTTTTTGGCCACATTCATTGGAATAGTTAATAAGGACATGAAATAAGTTGGAAGATTACTCAATATACTTTTGATTAGTGTAAGTCTCCCTCCCTAGATAGAAGGGTTCTCTTCCAACCAGCCAATCTCTTTACAATCCTCTCCACTATTGATTCCCATGTCTTCGCCTCTTTAAACCTATAATGAAGGGGAAGCCCCAGATATTTAATCAGTAACGTCGTAAGTCTACCACCCAAAGCACTCCTCAAATTGTTCGAGTCCTCTACATTCCCCAATCCCAATATTTTAGACTTCGTTAAATTAATATTGATACCAAACATCTTTGTGTATAATAATATTTTTTTTTTATTTCAAAAAAAAATATTGATACCAAACATAGCTTGAAAACTCATCAAAACACATTGTATGTTGAGCAAGACTCTTCTCTGAGGTTTATAGAACAACAATACATTATCAGCAAAAAACAAGTGATTCATCTCCTCTGCCTGTCCACCAACCCCAATCCTCAAACCACTAAATAGTGTACAATCTCCAACTTTTTAATTA